GATTCCAGGGGTGAAGAGTGGCTTCTGACACCGTCGTCTCGATATGCACACTGTAAGCCGCTCAAGGTGCGCCTATAACAAATTTTTACGACACTCCCCAGATTGGATGTATCGTCCTCGAACACATGGGAGGACGTGGTGGGGAGAGTAACGAGCCTTTCGGGTAGATTTTGTTTCTATCACCAACGTGTGCCTCAACCACGAGAGGGCCATTCTTGTTTGTACAACTGTTTCGACGGAGTTTGGAAACTGACTATGTACTTGAGATGCGCCGATATAGTTACCTAGGTAGGTACCTATTGATAAATCTTGTCTTGGGTCGAAATAAGACTCCGAATGCTTCTTCGCCTGCTTCAAAATTTATCTCTTAAGCCCAATGGTTCACAAGCTTTGCCGGTGGGAAGCCAGATCCCTGGCAACGGCACAGGTTTCGCAGTACGGCAAGAGCAAGGACTGTACGCACTGCAAGTCTAGTGGAGTTCAGAGTGAGGTGCTGAAGCCATCGGGGCGGCCACTGTGAGGCCCTTGTAAACTCTAGGTATCCGTACATACCTACTTACCTAGGTAGGTACCTAGGTAGTCAGCTTGCCGCGGGTTCGTTGCTGAGACCTCCCTCCAGCTCTTGGGCGGGTCTCACTGCCTGGTCTCCTGCTTCAAAAGCTCCAAGCGGCTGCTGTCCACCCATCCCATCCAATTCTCTGTTACTTGAGCTTGAGTTGGTACCTTACTGTATGGACAGTGAAGGTGGATACAGTGCTACTGCTGAACATGCATGTGCTGGGGATCCAACCATTTCAGCGTACGACGCCAGATGATTTTTCCCCTTGGATCTTTCGAGACATGGAGACTACCATCTGTACTAGAGGAAATGAGGCTTGCTCTCAGGTCATTTTGATGTTCCTTGTGTTCGGTTGATTGCTTGATGGATCTGATCTTTCAGGTCTAACTACCTAGGTAGGTAGTAATCCACCTGCATTTTTCATCCAAGGAGAAACCATCTGGTATCGTTTTTCTCGTTTCTTTTTCCCCACAAGGCTCCTTGGTAGCGACGTAACCTACCTAAGGTAGCCTGCTGTCCCCCATCCATCTCACTCAATTCTTCTTCTCTGCAGTCCATGCTTGCTATAGGTACCTGTGCACATGCCCTAGGTTCCTTCTATAGCCCATGTACCTACCGGGGAACTCACTAGCCTAGGCGTTCCTCACCTTCCCTTCCCTTCCCTTCCCTCACCTGCAGTGCCCTCCACTGTCACTGTCCATCCATCCCCCCCGGACCGTCACTCACTCGCCTTCAACCAGGGTCATCTCGTTCTCGTGTGCACTTTTCCCTCTTCAATTCCATTTCCACCTCTTCTCTCTTCACCTTTTACAGATCAGGGTTACGTTAGGTTCTTGTTCTCGATCACATCCCATCTTTATCTTGTCCAAGACGACGGTCTCTTTTTTAACCCTCCTCCACAAGGCTCATGCTCTGACACGCCCGCCCACTATAGAAATTGGCTTTGGATCGCATTGTCGCGTCTCTGCTGTCCTGGCTGTCTGTCTATCTGTCTGTCCTGGCCCGCCGACTTCGAGCTGCAATTTCCGCCTTGGCTCGTCGTACTGACGCCTCTCGCCTGCTGCTCGCTACCCTGGCCTCGCCTTGAACGCAAACAATCCAACACAATCATATTGCCGTCACCGTTGCCCTCTGCTAGCCGGGCTCCCATTGACGGGGACTCGTCGGGCTCACTATAACCGACTCGCTTTGGCTGCGACTCGACCGATATCCTCAATATCGACTCGACCTCTAGACAGATATGGACGTCCACAGCCAGCCGCGTCTACCCCCTCCCAAACCGGTTGGACTTAATAACATTCTTAATAACGACAACGCACCTGTTTCAATCGTCAACGGCCCGCCTCACATGCGAGACTCGGGCTTCTACTCCAACGCAGACGCCTCCAGTAAGCGTACGCTGCTCATTACTGTTTGTGCCAATGCCTCGGCTCCATGGCTAACCTGATTTACCTAGACACATCCGCTGCATCTTTCAACGTGAATGGTCTTAGCCCAAGTGGCTCCGGCTATCAATCCTCGTCGCACGAGAAGACACCATCTCCGATTGCCTCCAACATGACTCCCAACGGACTTGTCTCGCCATCGACTACCAACATGAGCGTTGCCGCAATGGTATCGCCTAGTACTCCCAGCAGTCTCGATCCTCGCCGCGACCGTCCCACGTCGATCGAGTCCAACGGTCTCGGTCCCAATCCTGGCCCTACGATGAGCGACACCTTAGCGCCTGGTATGGCAGCAATGAGAAGGGAGAGTGTTGACAGCCGTATCAACCAAAACTTCGGCGATTTGCGCCTGGGAGGCTCTCCTTACGCATCTCACAATCACTCAACTACCTCGATACAGAATACCCTCCATAATCAGCGGAACCCTCATCATTTATCAGTCCATCGCATCTCAAACGGCTACCAGCCCAGTGCGGAACGAAACCCTGAAGGCAAGACGGTCAAAACCGCACCGGCCATCACTGGTCCTGCCACTGGACACATCGCGCGCGCTGCAGAGCCCACCAAAGGTCAAGCATGGGCGTTTCCCGAGGAAGAGATTCAGCGAGTCGGTGGCGCCCCCACGTACACCGACTCGCGGCGCAGTAGTATCACCGAGTCTATCGCGAGTAGCCAATTCACAACAGAGTCTCGCCTACCTCCTGGCCAGATGAGACTGAACGAGTCCGAGTACTCTCGCATGTCCAACGCATCCGACTTTCCGCCTGTTCACCATCACTCTATGCAGCATAAGCAATTGAGTGACCTCCAGGCCGAAGAAGGGAATGGTTCAACGGGCTCGCAGCCGTATAGTCGAACACCCGAATTGAGAGTCAGCCACAAGCTTGCTGAACGGAAAAGACGAACGGAGATGAAGGAGCTCTTTGATCAGCTTAGAGATCTCATGCCTCAGGAACGAGGCTCAAAGGCCTCCAAGTGGGAAATTCTAACTAAAGGTCAGTAATTTAAGAGAAAGGGGCTAGATCTCGACTGACGTGAAATTCGACAGCCATTGCAGAGCATCAGAAGCAGCAAGATATCATTCGAGCATTACAAGATCATTATAAGTCTAACACGGCCGAGAACGAGTTGCTTCGCCGAGATGTGCATGCGCTACGTATGGAAAACCAACAGCTTCGTTCAGAGCTCAACTCTTCCTCTTCACGCCCTCCATTATCTTCAGCAACAACACCAGCACCACAGGCCGGGGCCTATCAGACAGACCCTTACCCTAACCTGAACCGACCAGAACTGCCACCACTCAGGTCGCTCCGTAACAGTATTCCAAATGGACCGGACTCTATGACGGGTGTTCAATATGACAGTCCTCGCACCAATGGCTATCATTAGACGGGGCCAATCGAATATACCGAGAAATGAGGCCCAGGGGGGGATACTTGCCCCCTCAAAAATATCCATCATCTTAAACCTGTTGGCACTCGATTAATGAATGAATGACGGCGAAAAGTTATGACACCTGGAGAGCATAAGGCGCGCACCCTTGCAGTTCCAAAACTACAGGGCGGGAATCGACTACTATTGCTGGGTCACCAGCGATGCTCTGAGCCACAACAAAAACGCGCCGTGGCATTAGATTTGCTTAGCTGCTTCTGTTTTTCTTTTGTCTTTTTCCGCAACGCTACCGCCCAGTGTACCGGTACGGCAAACGGATCGTGAATGTCACTCTTCTTTGTCAATTTCTTGTTCAGTACTAGGTCTTCTTTCTCATTCGGTCTTTTTTTCCCCTTCTTTTTCTTCTTTTTCTTCTTTTCTTTCTCTTTTCTTCTTTGCTCTTCTTCTTTTATTTAAACATGTACCACGCTCGACGAATGAGGTGGCTGCTAGGAGTTCAGTTTAGGTTTGGGACATATAGGCCACTTAATGGTACGGTACGGTTAGGTGTGGATGATCAAGCAAGGCAAGGCAAGGTAGGGACAAGGATAAGGAATAGGTGCAATAGGGTTGGTTGCAAAGGATTTTGTCGGTTTTTGGGCTCGGAAGGACGAAGACGTCATGGAAAATACGGAGATGGCGTGAATAGTGTTTCAGGGCGTATATACCCATTTTAAAGGAGGCGAAGCAGACAGGAAGGGTCTGTGCTGTGGAACAAACATGTCGTGGAGGTGATGCAGATGGAAGATGCTCTGTTCTCTTCTGTGCAATGTCGTGGTTGTGAGCGTATCGTATGGTCTCGGTGTATCGGGGGGTTGATGGTAAAAAAAATGCGAGAACAAGATATTCATCTTCACAAAATCGTGCTTACGATAGATTATATCATGCGAATTGTGAAATGAATGAATGTGTACTACCGGCTCTTTGCCATGCCATGTTGGAAAGCAGTGGGCATACCTAGATCTGAGTATCCGTATTATATATACCTACGGAGTATATATATATTATATATATACATACATGTAGAGTACTGCGGATACCCACTAGCATGACGTGATCTGATGAAACAATGCGATGGATATGATAAGATAAAGACAAGATGAGACAGCTACAGTTGGACTTGCCTTCAGATCGGAGCCGGGGATACGGGATATACGGGGCAGCCGAGCCCGGGCGGAGTTGGAGGTTGCGGACTTGCGGAGTTTGCGGAAGCCCCGCCCCAGAGAGAAAATCCCCGATTCGGTCTGAGAGACGAGGAACGACGATTGACGATTGACTTTAGTTAGGTACTAGGTAAGGTACTAGGTAGTTAAATAAAGCTACCTTACTGCTTGCGGCTTACACCAGACAAAGTCCGCAAAGACGATGCATCAGGGGGCTCCTCTCACTCCATTCTCTTGATTATATTTCACTCTGGTAGGCCTATTCATTCTCCGACGTCAAGTCCGTCGACCTTCTTGGGGATCCCTTTTCCGCCTTCTCCTCTTCCATCATTCTCACCCTCACTCGCCCTCACTCTCATCCATCCACTGAGTCACCCATTCCATCTCACTTATACATATATCATGGACTCACTCGGGTCGCTGGCTGCGCGCAAGATGGACCGCTCAGCAGCCTCGAGACAGAAGAGCTGCAACGCCTGCGTGAGAGGGAAGCGCAAGTGCGACAAGAAGACCCCCCGCTGTACTCGCTGTGCGGCAAAGGGCCTCGACTGTGTATACCAGAGATTGCCGCCAGGGGCCAACTTTCACGACGACGATCTGTGTGCCGGTCTTGGCGCTACTGACAATCTGGACGAAGTCCCTGATTTTGATATGGGCTTCGATATCAACAACTTGGGAGCAGACTCGAGTGCCAGCACCAGCACCAGCACCAGCACCAGCAACCCCACGCCCGATAGCTTCGACAGAGTCACCACATCGTCGATAGAGCTCGACTCTCCCCTTGACTTCTCCATCATCGACCATCTCATGGCCAACGATACATCTCTTGGTTCCGAGCTATGGAACATGGGTGACTATGGCAACAACAAGCTCGGTATACCGCCCGTGCCAGCAGGGCCTATCGTCCTCCGCGATGTGGCTGTTCTGGATAGAGTAGATGCCTGCTTGGCCGACTTCAACCCGCTGGACGTGTACGACCCTCGTACCCGCGTGGGATACACAGTAGATATCATCACCAACCTCTACCGGGACTTCGCTCGGACTCGCCGGCTGCCCTTCATCCACCCCCGTCTCTACGGCTCCAACCTCCCAAAGACCATGCTAGCAGCCTTCTCAGCGGCGTCAGCCTATTCAGCGCGAACTCCCGAGAACAAAGGCTGGGTGTACAAGCTCATCACCGACATGGCCAAGGAGATCCATCGCGAGGGTGAGCGGGCCTCGACGCCGGCGGAGAAGCTGGCGCGGGTGCAGGCTCTGGTTGTTCTGGACTCTATCCGTATGTTCGACGGCGACGTTACTCTGAGGGCAACGAGCGAGCGCGAGATGTCGCAGTTTATTGCGTGGATGTTTGCTCTGAAAGAGGTGGAAGAGGAGTTGTCAGTGGGGGATGAGCCTGGTGCTACAACGATGAAAGGTCCACCTCCACCAAGCTGGGAGGTGAGATGGTCCAAGAACTATACCACGGAGGATTCTTGCTGACGTTGAGACAGAGTTGGCTGCTTGCCGAGAGTATACGCCGAACCACTGTCATGTCATTTGCTTTCGTCTGCATGACAAGCATACTCAAGTCCCTTGAGCGTACGTCTTATTGTCTTTACCTATCCTCGTATCTTTACCTATCCTCGTATCTAACACTTTCTCATAGCACCGTGCGGTATCATGGAGGGGCCAGCCTTTCAGTTCACTGCATCGAGATACCTCTGGGAAGCCGATTCGTCAATGGCCTTCTATCGGGCGTGGCAGACCAAACCACAATACCCGGTGCGGAATCTCGACTTCAAGGGTGTCTGGTTGCATGCCCAGCCTGAGGATGTTGATGAGTTTACGAAGCTAATGCTTACTGCGTAAGTAACTCCGTCTATCGAGTCTATTATTATATCTGACATGAAACAGACAAATGGGCCCCGAAGCTATTGATCAGTTCATGATGGGTGCTACGTGTTGATTCTGCGCAAGTAACGGATGTCTGTTATTAATTTTTGTAATGGTAGTTAAGGCGTCATGGTGCTGGGATTCACCAAGCTTTCCACGATATCATGGATCAGTTTGATTTACAAACAAAGTTGCTGAGCTGGTGACTATTCAGGAAACACATAAGTAATAGCCAAGTGCTACTGCAATAATGCTATATCGACAGGTGTTTGATGCTGATTCACACCTCGTCTTGGGTGATCCTCCAGACCAGCCTCTCGCCACTGACTCCCTTATTTCTCAGAATATCCAATGCCTTTTGGGCCCTCTCAACAGCTGATGAACCTTCCACAACACGATACTTATTTGGGGTAATGACGCCGTCTTTGAGTAGCTTGGGCACCATTTCTGGCTGAGCCTTTTCCTTGAGAAACTCATTCTAGTTTATGTTAGTCTTTGAATGCTGGAGGTGACCAAGAGTGACTTACTGAGAGGTAGAAATGTGTTCGTACACCACGAACTTCAACGCCATCGGCCCATTGACCGACCAAAACCTTGGAGACGTCCATCTCATATTCAGGCTCTTCTTCAAGGGTAGCATCTTTGAGAATGACAGGCAGCATAACGGCCACAGTGCTGCCGCGTTGAGCAATCTTGGACAGAGGCTTTAGAGTGCCCTCTAGAGAACCAATGCAGTCGATGATATAAGGCAGTTTGGGCTCTGATCTGTTACTGATGAATTGGAGGATCTTATGGACAACATCATGCTTTCGATAGTCGACGGTCTCGGTTGCGCCAATGCCGTGAAGATATGCATGCTGCTTTTCACTTGCCACAGCGATGATGTTCTTGAAGCCCCAGTGCCTGAAGACCTGGACGGCATAGATACCGACGCTGCTCGAGGCGCCCCAGATGAGGATAGGGTCATCAGCTTGCTTGGGCGTGTAACCTTCTGGTACAGGCCATGGAAGCTCCAGCTTGAGATCGGCAGTGGCAGTGTGAAAGACAGTCACTAGATTCACAGAGACTGTCACCGCTTCCTGGTAAGAAATGTTGTCTGGGATTTTAGAAGCAAGATATGCAGGAATGGTGATGTATTCCTGGTGATTTGCCTCTTTGCCACCATGAAAAGCAAAGGAAACGACACGGTCTCCGACATTCAGCCCCTTAAGGTCGCCGCCATCGCCAACAGCCACGATCTTTCCAGCGGCACCACCACTGCCCATCTGCTGCGGGTATTCGGAGATGAGTAGACCACCATCGGCACGATGAAGGTCAAGAGGAGTTGAAGAGGTCCAGGCAACACGAACTAGGACTTCGCCAGGGGCGGGAGGATACACAGGGACTGTTTGAGAGGCGAACGGGGTGCGTTTTGCAGGGAGGACTATGGCTTGCTGAGTTGAGGGGATAGAAGACATGATGGGCTTGGGTTGGGTTGTAACTAGGTGATGAATGGCTTGGTAAATAGATCGATGTCACTCTACAGATATAGCAATTCTACGGGTTTATATATCTGCATATACTTCACTGCTCTTTACTCGGGAGTCTCGTCTCCTGATAATGCGTAATGCGTGCACAGGTAGTCGTATTAATAAAAATGCAGATATTTGTCAGCCTGAACTCCGTGGAACGCCTAAATGAGCCCCACCGAAGTTTCTACATGTCCAAGGAAAGTTGCACAATGTTTCGTATTCAAAACAAAGCGACCTTGTGAATAGATTGATGATGATGCAAGCAAGCGGCAAGGCAGGGCAAGGCAGGGTAAATCTAGTTCATAAGCCCCACGAGTGCCAGATGGGTTGTGACTCGATAATAACGGGTGTGAGTTTTAAGGCTGAGGTGGATGTATTCGATGCTGATGTAAGATGGAGTCTTAAAGAGGAAAGTAGTTATTTAATCAATGATGCAGTAATAAATGGTCAAAATCGAGCTGGACGGGAGATAATAATGACAAGGAGTGATTCAATCAGCATCAGGGTTTTACGGTGCTTTGGTAGGTTGTCAGTCATGCCATCGCCAATCAATAGCTCCGTTGATAAAAATGGTGGTCAACACTTGAGATCCAATTCAACTCATTTCCAACGCCATAACTCGCACAGTAAAAGTAAAAGGTATCTGATCCGATACAGTCATCCAAGACGTCCATCCATTCCATTCATCATCCCATTAAATCCATTCCCAAATTCATTCCCAGCCTCAAAATATTCCCCATGTCATATAATTCTGCCTTTAACTAGACGGTGGCAGAGCCCATGAGGACTGTCCCGGCCGCAGGCCCAACATCCACATGCTTTTGCGTGACATTTCCGCTCTTGGCATCATCTCTCGCAGTCGGAGGACGTCCGAGGTCGGATACGACATTGCGGACTCGCTGTCGCATGCTCTTGCGGTGCTGGTTCTGCTTTGCGGCTTCGTTTGTAGACATGTCCGCGTCGGCTTTTGTCGGTGAGACATGGTCCTGGGCTTCTTTGGAGAAGACGGTTGAGCCTGAGAGGACAGAGGCAGCGTCGCTTGTGGTGTCCATTTTCTTTTGTGACAGGCGAAGTGGGCTTTGAAAAGAAGGAGACGCTTTTATTTAGGTTGTATTGGATGAGTGATATTAAATTGATAGGGAGCCAAGAAATGGCGGGGGGTGGGGTGAGGCTGAAGCTTTTATATATGGAAGGCAAGGGATAGGAAGGTAAGGTAGTGTAGTCTACCTTAGGTACTGTCCTATCTTCTCCTCTCCTCTTCCCCGACTTTTATCAGTCTGCCTCTTCCATTCATTGCCTTGTCTGCCTTTCAGGGAGGGTCAAAGGGTCTAGATCTTTGGTGGTAGTGTTACTGACCCCGCGCTACTGTACGGTGAACCCACTCTCATTAACCTTAATCAGTTCCACTTATCTCAAGGAATTTACTATGGCATTGTCGTTCTGATATGATAAAAGGCCCGGTGATACATCAGTAATCTTCAACAAACGTCTCTTCATCTTACAACAATCTTCTTCTATACCCTAATTCGAATATAATGCGATTTCCAAGCGACATCTCCCTTTCCTCATGGTGAGTTGCCGTTCAGACAGTCTAGACAACCCAATGTGACCCCTCCCTATCACTCACACGTCAACACTCTCTAAACCCATTCGCCGAGGCCACTGGCTAGACTATCCCCCATAACCCTTCACATCAACATCTACAGCTGAATCGTCCTCCTCATTATGCCACCAAATCGATGTAAGCACATCCAGCCCCAATGTCTCAAACTCCTCCAAGCTAGCCTCCTCCTCCCCTTTCTCGACTCTACCACCGCAACTATCGGCACACGTAAACACTTCTCTCACACAGTCTATGTTCCAAGGTCCGCAGTCCCAATCCCCTCCACCCATACTGTAGAACTCAACCACCAGATTAGTCGCGCCAAAGAGCAGCTCGCACTGTTCCCGGCAAAGCTGCGTCTGATGCGTCTCCCGCGCATCACCCCAGCTAACCCGGTACCACATAGAGTAGTTCTCCGGTTGGCACGTTGTGCTGTGAACCATGTCGTACAACTGGCCCATGCAGAGGCCCGGTGAGGATTTTGGCTTGACAAGAGCAGTGCGGACATTGCGGAACCACATGTCGAAGCCCTCTGATTTCAAATATCCCATAGCCGGAGGTGGTGGTTGAGATACAAGCATCCGCCGCCAACTGGAAGTGCTCATTGTGAAGTTCTCAAGCCTCTCCGTCTTCTCCAGAATCGATAAGCTTCTTGCTTCTCCTTGCGCTGTAATCGCACCTTCGGGAGCCCAAGGCAAGCGAAAGAACGAGTCTGCTCTTCGAAGGTATGTATACTTGCGGTCGACATCGAAGAAGCATCGTCCAAACTTTTCAACCAGCAACGGGTTGAGTGTGAAACTCTGCGGTCTTTGGGTCCCTGCCGAGGACACGGGTTGGAAGAACAGCGCTTGCTGTAATCTGGGAGATTCTCTTATCATCGCGGCCCAGTGACGACATACCCTCGATGCAGAGACAAGAAGTGTCTTCATGTCAAGGTGTAAGAGGATGAGTTCCAGCAATTCCGGGACCGCGAGTATCCTGGCCATAGTGTCTGCGAACTCCATTGCGAATTCAGATCAACGTTTGTTTATTTCGAGGGACCAATCACTCCAGATGCAAAACAATAACACTCAGGGAAAATGAAAATAATGCGGGTTGTCATACCAAGTTTATGCAAACTATAGAGGCTTCAGAACCGATGATGCAGTGGTTATCAAAGATGGAATCCACCTCACATGATGGACTAGGCTGCGAGTCATGATGCCATGGCTGCACTCTAGTGCATGCGACCAAAATGTAACTTATATGTTAGGTATGTTGGCTTGGTTGGTTAGAGTTATGCCAAAATCCTGCCTCGGTAGCAAATGGCCAAGCTTGGTTGGGCTGGGCTGGGTTGGCTTACAAGACCTGCCTACTTGGGACGTGAGTGTCAATCCTGTTTGACTCCCGTATTCATGGCGCTAATGAGATTACCTACACCAACGAAGCAAATCGCCGCCTCAATCCGATAAGGTTTTGTACTTTATGGATCAGGCTGGATTGCCGTTAACTACCTAGGTACTTGATGAGACATGAAGCAGAGAGATGGCACGTGAATGAGGGTCAGGCTGGATATAGAGGTATATATATCTCATTCATTAGCTGTGCTGTTGTGTACATCACCGTCTTGGTCCAACAATATCTTCCCTAAGTAGTGCTCCTTCCATGACACCATGACACACAGTGACAAAAAGGAATTCCCAGACGCCCAGACTCCAATCATGCTGCCAAAGGCCCAAAATGACAGTCCCTTCTACCCAAACAAAGCCAAGCAGTAAATCCTTGTACATGTGCCCCATGAAGATTAAAGAGGTCATAAAAGGAGAGGAAAAGCGTGCGCGCGCAGCCTACTTGGTTCGTTCTAGAACCTCGACTCGCTTGTTTCCGAGGTCGACAATCTTGCCGACGAGCTGGCCTGCCTGGTCCATCTCGGTGATGTCGTCGGCGCCTCCCAGGCTCACACCGTTGACCATAATATTGGGTACGGTCCTTCGGCCTGTTGTCTCGCGCAGTTGGTCTTGCAGGGCTTGGCCTTGGGGATGGATATCGAGTTCAACGACGTAGGGCTCGGGTTTGATGGAGTACTTTCCGATCAGAAGGCCCTTGGCTCGCTTCGAGTACGGGCAGTACGTCTTTGAGAAGATGATGACTGAATGGCAATTAGTGATTATGGTACTTCCAGTGTTTGCTCTCAGAAACCTACCGGGTGATTTCTTGAGGATAGAGTCAAGCTCTTCGCGAGCCGCGATTGCCTCCTTGCTCCTCGTCTCCGTCTCGGGCTTCTTCTCGGCTGCGGCAGCAGGAGCTGGAATATCGCCAGACTCTCCGCCAACAGGCTTGACGATTTTATCCTTATCCTGACCTTCCGCAGAACTTCCAACTCCCACAACCTTCTTGGGAGGATCGGGTCGCAGACCTCCCTTCTCGTTCGCCTTGCCCTTCGCCTCGGCCTCGGCCGCCTTGAGACGCTCCTGCATCTGAGCAGCTAACTTCTGGTCGTCTGCGTCGACGTCGCCGTCCCCATCCTTGTCAGCGTGAGGCTGTCCAGCCTTCTCTCCAGTTGCAAAGTCGACGATAGGTGCCGGGGGTTCGTTTGCGCTCATGGCATTCTGGGTCTTCTTGATAAACTCCTGGCCTGTATAGGTCTCTGCATCGTGATGCGAGTCGAATCCCGAGGTGTAGAAGAGGATAAAGATAAATGTGCCAATCGTCGCCAGGATTAGTAGGCGTACTCGGCGTGGAGAAGGCATGTCGGTCGGCGGGATGATGATCTCAGGACCAGGGGTGGGTGGGTGCGCTAGGGAGCGAGCTCTGGTCAAGAGCTCTTGAGCGTCGCGCCGGCGAGCGATTGGAGTTGATGAAGGAGCAGCAGGGTCGTCTCGGATAGCGATGATTAAGGAGCGTCGAAAAAGACGGGAAGGACAGTGAGAAAAGTATCGGTCGGCTGGGGTGTTGAGCCGAAGATGACGGTGGGAAAATGGGAATGGAAACGGAAATGAAGAGGAACGGGATACGAGAGTCGACCTCCCAGGGACACACAGATTCTCCAGATTAGAACCTGAGGTAAGGGAGAGCCTCTCCAATTCCAGCGGAGGGTTTAGGTGTCTGTGGCCAATCAGGGGGGCGTGTCATGGGGATAACCTTAGGAGACAGTGCGGTTCATCATGGACTGTGCTACTGATGGACAGTATTTTTACTTTAGACGCTTGATAAACCTAGAATTGGAGCTGTAACATCTCGTAAATTTTATAAATTGTGTGCCCAAAGGGGTACAGACAGTATTTGAAGGTAACATATAAAATTACAAACCATGTTTGGCTGAAGTATCTCACCAATGCCCATGTGGCCCTCCCAGCATTATTAAACAAACTCCGTCCAACACACCAATATCAGAAGAGCCAGCTTCTGATTTTCTCTCATCACTTCCACCCGATTATTGCAAAATCTTGTTCTTCCTCAAGTCAGTACATACATCATGTTAATCGTGGGTTTGTCACCTACCACTGAATACCTATACCGTCACTGAATGGTGCATCTCCTCATCAGGTACAGCCTGTGCTCGCACACTCTCACTGGGCTTCTGAGGCTCTTCGGACAAAACTTGGGGGGCTCCATGGTGATAGTGTGATCTTGCGCGGTGCAAAAGCGCCGCTCTTGTTGCGTGGAGGTGTCGAAGATGTTGATTGCCATGGCGGTGATGGTGCATTGCTGGTGCAGCCTCGAGAGTAAAGGCCCAAAGGAAGAAGGCTAGAAAGAAGGAGGTCTTGAAGGACAACATTTTGTGCTGTGGACTGACAGTGATTGCAACTAATTGGTTTGACTAGGTATGTGTTTGCTGCTACCACGAAAACTCTACTGGGCTATTCGCTCTTATATGTCCTTTGGGATCTCTTGCTCCCTTCTCCCATCGAGACCATATGACGAGCAGTGTACTTACAATGAGCCTGTTCCATGCTTCAGCACCGCATTCGGTCAGAGTCGTCCTGTCTTGGGGCCCCTCGGGAGGAATTTGCAGGGTCGTGGGCCGCACTGAGACAATCTTCTAATAGAGCTGTTTGCGACAAGAAACTATTTCTGGTCCCGCCAGCCCCTTCAACTTATGCTCCCTCCATCACATGAACCCTTTTCATCAGGATAAAGCTCATACGATCAAGTTTTAAACCCCTCAAATAAGCTATTTCCTTGGCCGTTGAGATCGTCGTCAACGTTGATATGGCCCCCGTGGAAAGGGGAGGCTGGTCCTTGTGAGACATTCTCAATAGTCACTCTCCATGTGACATTGTGAGGGCTACAGTGTCACGATTCGAATGTCGTCAGGCAGCGATCTGTATCAAACCTACCTACATCAGAACTATAAAGTTGACTTACATGGAGACTATATGAAGCATGACTAATCGAGAATGTTGCGGCGAACCAATAGAAACCTGCCAAAACTCTTTTTCACAGTGAGCATCCAGTGGCACGGGCGTTGATGGATCTTGACAAGTTGCATTTCTAGTGACTTCGATTTATGGTAAAAAAGAAGTGTCCTTTTTACTGTCGACTGAGTCATATATCTTGGAGTTTCATAGCATATAACGGAAAAGCATATTCATTTATTTGTTTATACTCTCTGTTCACCTTTTTTTTTTTTTTAACTTATTCCAAAGCCTGTCACCATTTTACGTTGGTATCCCTCAAACTCACACCAGTTGACTACCCTTGAGTTCTCCAACCTTGTACACTTTTAAATCTGCCCCTTCGATACTCTGCTCGAGGGTTTACAACAATCACCAATAATACTCCCTGGTCTCAGATCGAGTATTAAACCCTGACCACCTTCGCTATTCAACCTTGAAGAGCTTTCGCCTGTTTGAGGGATTAGATATTCAGTATGGCTCCCTCAAGGGCAAAATCCTTGTCACTCATGATCGCCCTCGTCCTGGGTATTGTCCTATGCATCTTTGCAGCTCCAGCTGCAGCCTCACAGCCATCTCCCGAGGCAGATGTAGAACTCATCTGCCACACAGATAACCCCAAAGACTGTTACCCAAAGGTGTTTCAACCAACAGATGAGTTCCAGGTTGTCCACGATGATCAGGAACTTCCTCACGGACTCCATGTTCGCTTGAATATGTCCAACGGCAAGAAAGAGGCCAAGATCAATGTCCCCGATGAAGGAAACCCTGCCCTCGAAGGCCTCCCGGTTGACCAGGCTGTTGTCGTCGTCGATCAGCAGCAACAGGAGGATCCCCAAATTCCCAAGGGCGCCCCAGCTTATGAACCTATCGGTAAAATCAAGGAGCCCGAGGGCGAGGATTTCGTCGGTAAGCCCTTCTTCACCGCCATGAAGATGTTGAAGGCTGGCGAAACAGGCCAAGGCAGGGAGCTTGACGACGCGCTCGAGGGAATGGAAGAACTGTCACATGATATTTACTACGGTCTCAAGGTCACCGAAGACCCGGCGGTGCTGAAGGCTCTCTTCTGCATGATGGCAGATTCAGATGTTGCTTACCCTGCTGATATCACTCCTCGGGATCATCAAGCAGCTGCCATCCTCGGGGCCGCGCTGCAGAACAATGCTGCGGCATTGAAAGAGATCACCAAACAGTGGCCTAGTCTCATGGAGGGTCAGTGCCCGAGCAACAGCAAGTCTCTAAAGGAGTCTTTCTATACACCTCTTGTGCCCGCTCATGTTCCATCGTCGCTCAACACCAAGACTTTGGCCTCTACAGCGAAAGCCAAGGTTGGGGCTATCAACGGCCTCATCAAGAGCGATGTCATCCGAGAGGAATTCCTCAAGAACGACGGCATGAAGCTATTGCTTGAGGTGCTCGTGCCCGAAGGCAGAGACTGGGATACTACACAGCGCAAGGTCGGCCAGTTGGTTCTGGATGCTTTCTTGGATGAAGATATGGGCGCAAAGCTTGGTCAGTGGCCTCGCACGGAGCGAGACAGCGACGCAAAATGCCGAGTATTTGAGACAAGTACCGGAGAGGGGTGCTGGGACTACCATGTTGCGAGGATCCTGAAGGAGAACAAGAGAGACAGCGGACATTGGAGCCGGGATCTACATGATCGGCTTGCGGCATTGAGGAAGAGCGGAAAGGTGCCTCCTCGGGTTGAATTGTAGAGCACAGCATTAGTAGCATCTGCCAAGCGAGATTATTATAGGCAGAGCAATAGAGTAACTACGCATTTCAAGCTGTAAAAAAAAATTGAGTATTGCGACATTCTGCATGTGAGATTGCTGTGCCCAAATGTGGTGCAATTGAAGGATTGATCCTGATGTGGTTCGCTAGATTGAGCTCGGTGCAGGAGAATTTCGGACATTACATTGACCTTACTCCATCTCACAACCAACAAAACATTCATGGATCTTGCTGACACCGGATCCTGAGATAAGTAGGTCCCTCTAACCTACTAACTTATATATCTACCATAATCGGGCCCCATTTTGATACGTATTTCTGCTTTCCCACTCTTTCGGACCAAACCTCCAGTCTCTCCCGTCTAAAATGAATCAAGACGTGCCCTTCCAGCTAAGGCATGATAAAAAAGGGCGTGGAATCTTCTCCACCAGAGCCTTTTCTCCAGGCGACATCATCCTCCCATTTACACCAACTATCCTCATCCCCTCGCTATCTCATATAAAAACCATCTGTAGCCACTGCTTCAAGCCGGCTGACGTGCGCTCCTGTTCCGGCTGCCGCGCCGTGTCCTACTGCGATGCCGCCTGTCAATCTGCAAACTGGACTGCAGTCCACTCCAAGGAGTGCAAACTACTGCGTAAGGTGACCGAGCAAGGACACCCGGGCATACCGACGCCCGTACGCGCAGTGATTCAGGCGCTGGTGAAGCCTGGTATTGGCGCTGCGCTGGAGAACCTTGAAGGAAATGTCGAGTCTTGGAGGGAGAGTGACAAATGGGCCGACATGGAGATGATGGCCATGGGTGCTACTGCATTTACTGGGCACGGCACGGGTCAGGAGGAATTGCAGAAGACGCTGGCTCTGCTCTGCAAGGTAAGTCCTCAGAACTGTATGGCAGCAGGTCAACATACTGACGCATGGCAGATTCAGACAAATGCCTTCCATAGATATGATGCCGATCTTGGCCAGGTTGGCATCTTTCTCGAACCAAAGCTCGCCATGGCCAACCACTCCTGTATTCCCAATGCCATGGTTCAGTTTGTTGGGAGGAAGGCCATACTGAGAGCTGAAAAGCCGATCAGAGTCGATGAAGAGATTGAGATCTCTTACACTGGTATGTCTCCCCCATATGATATCCTCAAGATGCCCACTGACATGCTGTCAGATTACACGTTCCCTCGGTCTAAGAGAAAACATGCGCTTGCACCGTACTTTTTTAATTGTCAATGCCCTAGGTGCGAGAAAGACCTCAACGTCTACCAAGTCTGCGCCGGCTCTCCAATCATCAACATGAATCGCCATAGTCTGGTTACTGATGTCGGCAAGCTTGGCAAGCACCCTGCTGCAACAGATTCGACCAAAGCCTCAACGGCTACGAGCTGCAGCGAGCAACTATCTGATTTAATAGATGAAAAAGACCCTACCTTACCACCAGAAGATCGTCGAAGAGTACTTCGAGCTCGTTACCAGCAATGCAAAGGACTGACAGCCGAGAACCTTTGGGCAGTATCACCACTCCCACAGCTGCTGACTGAGGTATCGATCCTATACATCGAAGAAAGCAACTTCATATATGCCTTAACTACGGCATGCTTCGTTGCGACTTCCAGCGAACCTTATCGACATGTCTTGCCATACCATCCTATCCGCATCAAGGGCCTTTTACTCGTCGCCAAATTACTCGCCAATACGGCAGCTGACACAGCCTCACTCGGTAACTCACAAGCCGTGGCATCAAAAGGAGATATTAATCAGAGGGCTCTTCAGACACTGCAGGATATTGACCAAGTTTCCTTGTGCCAGATGCTTCTCATCATGATTATAGCGTCTGTCCCCAGAGACTATGTTCGAGAATGGGAAGTCTCGGCCACCGCTCAGCAAATGCTGGATGATATCAATGGACTACCAGGAAGAGACCAGGAGTTGTCTCTTATCAACGCCTGGAAAGAGAATCCTGAGGATGAACAAGCTCGAGCCTTCTTCGAGTATGCTGTAGTGAAGCAAGTAGATTCTCTGGCAAATTTGGGACTTGAGATACTTGAGATGGACTTTGGCCATTAAATACCTAGACATTATTGAGTGTTGCTTTGGGAACCGAGTAGATTCTCGAGTTGAGAATTTAGATACTTTGAGGGCTGGACTATGGATATATTGTTGAGTGCGGTATTCATGATTATATAGGTCTTTATATCCACGTTAACCCTCCTGTTAGGTCCAAGGCGCGTAAAGTAGTTAACCCTACAGACATTCTCATTGGCCGATCTTATAACAAGCTAAGGCCCCGCTCTCTACTAGGCTACCTACTAGGTACCTAGGTACAGGTTACCGGGATTATAAATATATAAAAATAACTCTAGAGCTACCTCCTAACCCTACTTTATAAGCTATAAAGGTCTATATTAATTTAGTTTTTTAACTAACTAAATTAAACCTTACTATTACTTTATATTTATTTTTTACTTTTATAGTTTTAGACTATAAGCCTGGTTTATATATTTATTTTATATAAGTAAAAAAAAGCAAACTATATATTTAGCTTTAATAATTATATTTACTAATTACTCTTTATATAGGCCTAAACCTATTAATACTATAAAAAAAGCTACCTTTTTTATATTAAAAGGCAAGCCTTTTTTATAGCCTTTTTTAGCTTTTTTAGTTTAACTAGCTTCTTAGCTAGCTAGATTAAATTTATTAAATAATTAAAGTAAGCCTAATTTATTAAAAAGTTAAATATCTTTATAGCTAATAT